TTTGCACCCATGATTCCATCCCCTCTTGTTTCCTTCAACAACTTGTCCCCCTGGATCATTCCCTCTCTTTCTCATATCTTTGATCTTTACTTGATCAGCATTTCCATATTTGCTGCCTACTAACATTATCAAGTCTCTCTGTTCCTTAAAAAAAAAGTCTTCAATTGACCCTGCCATTCTCTCAAGCCATCATCCTTTATCTCTTTTGCCTTTCCCAGACAAATTCCTAGAAAGGTTGTCTATATTCATAGCCTTCATTTCCTCATTACTTGTCAATACCCTGCAGTCTAGCTTCTGTCCCCACCATGTGACTGAAAATGTTATTTCGAGATTGGTTGTTGTTCAGTTGTTTCAGTCATGTCTGACTCTTTGTGACCCCCATTTTGGGGTTTTCTTGGCAAAGATACTGGAATAGTTCATCATTTCCTTCTCCAGCTCATTCTACAGATGAGGAACCTGAAGCAAACAGGGTTAAGTGACTTGCCCAGGGTCACACAGCTAGTAAGTGTCTGAGACCAGATTTGAAGGAAGATAAATCTTTTTTACTCCAGGCCTGGCACTCTATCCACTGTGCCACCTAGCTGTCCTTTCTAGGTTACTTATATCTCAATTGTTAAATACAACCCCTCCAGAGGAGAGATGATGACATCTCCTGACAGAGAGGGGATGGACTCAGAATACAGAATGGGACATATATTTTTTGGACATGGCCAATGTGGGAGTTTGATTTTTTTGACATACGTATTTGTCACAAAGGTTTTTCTTTTCTTTTCTTCTTCCTGCAATGGAGGAGATGAGGAGAGACAATAGTTGAAAAAACTGAATTAAAATTTAAAAAAATCTAGTGACCTTTTCTCAATTCTTATCCTTATTGACTTTTCTGTAATATTTGACATTATTGACCAATGTCTCCTCCAAGACACTCTGTCCTCCATGTGTTTTTGTGACCCTACTCTCACTGAGTTTTTATACTACCTATCCCATCATTACTTCTTATTCTTCTTTGCAAATCCTTACCATGTGTTGTATGAATGTACTCCAGGGCTGTCACTGGCTCTTTCTCCTCTCTCTACACAGTCTCTCCCAATGATTTCATTGGTTTCCATGAATTTAATTATTCCTCTGCAGATAGTTCCCAAATTTACACATTTAGTCTTTCATCTGTCTCCTGAGTTTCAGGCTGCATCTCCAACTGCCTGCTAGATAGGCACTCAGTCTACCTGTATGTCCCAAAAGCAACTCACACTCAGTATATCCCAAGTAAACTTATTTTCCTCTTCATCTCTTCCTTTTTCTAACATCTCTATTACTGTTGAGGGCACCACCATCTTTCTGCTCTTACAGATTTACAACCCTGAAATAAAAATTAACTTTTTATCCTTCATATCCAATTAGTTTCCAGGTTTCTCCAAAACTTCTCTCATATCATTCTCTTTCTCTCCATTTCCATGGACACCACCCCAGTCCTGGTTTTCATCACCTTTTGTCTGCATTATCACAACAATAACCTAATTCGTCTTTCTGCATCCAATATCTTCCCTCTCTAAACCATCCTTTGCACAGCCTCCAGATGGACAGTACTGAAGTATACATCTGACCAGGCCATTCCCTTGAGGCAGCTAGGTGGTACAGTTGATAGAGAGCTGGACTTGAAGTTAGGAAGATCTGAGTTCAAATATGATCTCAGACACTTATTAGCCATGTGACCCTGGGCAAGTCACTAAACTTTTGTTTGCCTCAATTTCCTCTTTGTAAAATGGGGATAGTAATAGCATCTTCCTCCAGGGTTGTTGTGAGGATCAAATGAGATAATATTTGTAAAGTGCTTAGCACCATTCCTGGAACAAAGTAGGCACTTAATAAATGCTTATTTCCTTCCCTTTCCCATCTTTGCTCAAGAAGCTTCAGTGCTTTATTGTCGCCTCTAGGAGAAAATGCAAACTCCTGTATTTGCCATTAAAGTCTTTCACACTTCGGTGCCAGACTCTCTTTGTAACTGCTTCCCCTTATGGCTCCAATGACCTTCTGCGTTCTAGTCAAACTGGACTGCTTGTTGTACTTAGTTCAGGAGATGTCGTCTCTCACTTCCTTTGCACAGGCTATCTCGCATGCCTGAAGCTTCCTCCTCCCCTTTGCTTCTTGAATCTTAAACTACCTTCAAGATTCAGCTCTTGCACAGGCTCCTTCCTCATTCTCTGAGTCATCCATTCTCTCTTCACCTTCCTCAAATTACTGGGTTTGTCTTTTAAATAAATTTCGTATTTGATAAGCAGTGCAGAGGAATGGTTGGAGGGGTTGCTGTTGAGATTAGGATGAGCTGGGTTTAAGTTTTACATCTTACACATGTTAACTATGGAACTCTGGGCAAGTCACTTGATCTTCCAGTGCCTGTAAATGATTCTCTAGGACTACAAATTTAATGGTAGGCGCTCATTTGCATAGAGAGAAGTAATTTCCTCACCAGTACTCTCTACATTGATAAGATCACAGGTCTGTATTAAAAAAATCTCTATCTTTATTTCTATCTATCTATATCCACCTCTCTCTCTCTCTGTCTCTCCTTGTTTCTGTCTCTCATTTGCCCCAACCTGGGAGATGGCCTTCTAATGTAGATGTATAAATACACACAGACATGTATGTATGTATGTATGTGTGTGTGTATTTCAACCTTGCCCCCCCACATATATATATATGCACACATTTTTATTCATGCATATGTGTGTATATACATGTCTATGCATATGCACATATATACATATATAATATAAATATAGAGAAACACACAAGTATTTCCTATTTATCCTATACATAGCTTGCTCTGAGTGTATTTGTTTGCATGTTGCATCTCCCCATTACATTGTAAGCTCCTTGAGGGCAAGGACTGTCTTTCTGCTCTTTTTGTATTTTCAGTGCTTAACATAGTGCCTGGCACATAGCTGGCTCTTAATACATGATTGATACATATACCTATATGTGTGTTAATATATATGTGGGTATGTGTTATATACATATACATATCTATATATAAGATTGATTAAATCAATCACCTCACCCCATTTCCAATACCTAATAAAATAATCTAGCTCTGATAGCTTTTCAGAACACTTCTATTAAATCAACCAATCAATCAAAGACATTAAATTAATTTATACTCAGTAACTCCCTGTGGATTTTCTGTTAAAATAGCAAGCCAGCTGAGAACTCATCATTCCAGCATGTGGCAAGCTAAAGGAGAGAACAGTTCATGCCAAGCCCCTGAGAAAGAATCATTAGAGGGAGGAGGAGAAGAGGCTCTCCTGCTACCTGTTTCCTGTCCTCTCTCCACCCCCCCAGAACTTGACCAGTGGAGGATGTTGCGAACTTCAAAAGATCAGTAGATTTGGGCTTCTCATTGATGTCCCAGCAGCATCCCTGGTAAACCTATGACTGCCAGCAATATCTGTATCAGAAGCTGAGGACAAACGAGGCCCACTTAGTAAAAGCACCTTCAGGACTCTACAGAGAGAAAGTGACATCACAACTAAGGGGGATATCTTGGGGAGTCCAAGAAAAAGTCTTCCCAGGGGTGGTCACATGTTCTCTATGCTTGTACTCACTTTCCCTTGGACTCTGTATGTACTAGTAGAAAAGGGGGTCATCGAATTTTTGAGGAGATACTTTGCAGCAACTGTTGTTGCAATGTTAACTTAATAAATACATATTTCAAAAACTATCTGGGTAATTGATATACACTGATAATTGTGTAGGGAAGACCACTGATGGGGGCACATGAGCTTGAGTACTAGAAAAGCACTCTTCAACTCCTCAAGCTCTCCTAGAACTTTGAAGTGAGAAGAGATAGTTTTGCTCTGGGGACTTGACATGTTAGTCCAAATAGGGGTTGGAAGAGTAAAGTCAGAGTTGATGCTGTGCACACACACACACACACACTCACACATGCACACATATACACATACACATAAAAAGGTATACTGCAGTCAGCTCATACCAGCTCACAAGAGCTAATTACTAAATCTTCAGCATGTGCATTCATACCTCAGAAATTAGCAGATGTTACAAGCCAGCCAGCTTAACTTATTGTTTTGTTGATTTTCTAGTCTTAAGAAAGTGATTACAAAATCTTAATTATGAAGATTAAATTTAAATGTGTGCCATGGATACTTTCTTTTTTTTCTGGAGAGCTGGTTATTAAACATTCTAGCACATCTGCATGCATTCTCATATTACAAACACACACACACAGAGAATATGATACTTTGTGTATGAAAGTTGCTAACTTGAATATTGTTTCCACTTAGTAGAATATAAGCTTCTTGAGAGCACAGATTATTTTGTTTCTGTTTGTATTTCCAACACCTAACCAGTGCCAAGAACACTGTGGGCTGAACACATAGTAGGTACTTAATATATGCTTGTTGATTGATTGATTGTCAGAAGAATAAGGACTTCTATTATCACCACTAGAAAATGTTTCTCATATTTAAAAGCCTATAGGCTCTTTGCTAAGGTTCAGACCAAAAGAACTCCTTAGCTCCTATCTCTGTCTTTCAGGGGAATCTTACAATTTGAAGCAAGCAAAATCATTGAATCTTAGAGTGTCTCAGTAGAAAGAGCCTCAGGATTGTTTTATTCCACGTCCAAGATCACACAACTTGTGGTAGAGCTGGGACTCAATTCTGGTGTCTTGTTTATTAATCTTCTTCCTATTACACCATCCTGCTCCTGTGCTGATGCAGACAAACGGTACCATAAACATTTGAAAACAAAAAGTTAACGGATGGAAAAGTGGTCAAATCCTACACAGGTCTAAGGTGGAGACATGTTAGGGTTTGGAGAGATGGGGTGAGTGTATAGAATCCTTCAGTCTTCTCTTAGGGGAAATGGGGACTAAGAGAGTGATGGACAGTAGACCATGTGGTAAAGGGAAGTCCATGATCATACAGGGTGAGATGAGTGATAATTTACAGAAGGATGATCCTTTAACTCTCTTTTGTGTTTAGAGTGCAAGGCTCTGGATGGAGTTATGCATCCCTTCAGATCTGAATGGATAACTAAGAATTGTTACAAGTGTCAGTGTAATGAGGACAGAATTCAGTGCTGCAACGTGTAAGTTCATGGTGGACAGACCTCAAATGTTCCTGCCCCCTCCTCCAGCATAGACTATGTGTGTAGTAGGAAGCATAATGGATTTGTAGCCAGAAGTCTTGGGTTCAAATCCGGCTATGCCACTTTTTATCTGTGTTGTCTTGGACATATCACTTAATTACTCTGGGTCTCAGTTTCCTCATAAGGAAAATAATAATAGTTAGCATTTATATAGCATTTTAAAGTATGCAAAGCACTTTACAAATATTTTTTCATTCTATCCTCAAAACCACTCTGGGAGGTAGGTGCTATTATTATCCTCATTTCGATAATAATAATGATGATAATAGTTAACATTTATATATAGTGCTTACGAAATGTGTCAGGCACAATGCTAAGCTCTTTACAATTATTATCTCATTTGATCCTTACAACAACCCTGGGAAGTGGTGGTATTATTATCCCATTTTACAGATAAAGAAACTGAGGTAGGCAGATGTTGCCCAAAGTCATGCAGCCAGTAAGTGTCTGAGGCTGGATTTGACCTCATGTCTTCCTGAATCCAGGTTTGTGTTGTATCTACTAGATCATCTAATTGTTTCTAGAATAAGGGCATTGGTTAGAATCAACAGCCTCCAATCAAGCAACACACATTAAGTGTTTCTCACCAGCCATATATTGTGCTGTGGTTGAAAAGACAAAAATGAAGGCTACCCCACTGTTTAAGTCCCTTGTGGCTCTCAATCTATGATCTTAGGAGAACTGAGCACTGACCTTTTGTCAAAGTGAATCAGAAGGTGGTCCAGTTGAACGTGGAGGCAGAAGATGGCACAGGTAATTCTAGGTGCATCTAGGGCAAGATGCTAGCTGATGGTGTTGGCAAATCTATCCATGAAGGAAATCAGTCAGGGCATTCAGAAGGAACAAAGCTAGTATGTCTTTGATAAAATTGATCTGAAAGGAGCAGTGGCACTATTTTTCTGCAATGTTTGGGTTTTGGGGGTGTGGTCAGGCTTGTGCTACCTCATGTTTGGGGCACAGCTTATCTCAGTATTGGAGGAAGTGAGCAAAAGTCACACCTGATTGTCACCTGAATTTTGACTCCTTGGTAGGACCAGATATTGGTGATTTGATGGAGGTAGTTCTGCTTTTAGAACCAACAGATGTCTCCCTTACCTTTAAATTCAACAGATATCTATTTTTATACAAGATACCAGTAAGCAAAAAAGGAAATAGTCTTCAAGAAGTTTACATTTTGTTGGGGTGGAGGATGAGTGGAGAGTGTGTGCTGTTTCATTTTTTGCTTAGCAGTGTCTTGTATATAATAAGGATAAGTATAATACAAGTTAGTTTAAGGTGGTAGAGGTGCAGGGAATTAGAGAAGGCCTACAGAGGAGGAAGCACCTGAGCTTAGGCCAGCTAGCGGGCAATGGTTAGAGTGCCAGCCCTGGAGTCAGGAAGACTCATCTTCCTGAGTTCAAATCTGGCTTCAGATACTTACTAGTCGTGGGACCATGAGCAAGTCCCTCTTTGCCTCAGTTTTCTCACTTGTAAAATGAGCTGGAGAATAAAATGGCAAACCACCACAGTATCTTAGCCAAGAAAACCCCAAATGAGGACACAAAGAGTCAGATATGACTGAAACGACTGAACAAGGAGAAGAAGTACCTAAGCTTAGCTTTGAATGAAGGTTAAGAATCTGAGCAGCAGAGAAGAGGAAGGAGTATGTGCCAGGCATGGGGGACAGAGAGCCTTTGGGAGGGTAGGGAGGCAGGAGGCAGCAGAATAAGTCTCCTGGGAACAGTCATTAGTCTGTTTTGGCTGACAGAGAGTGCAGGAAGGAGAAATGGGAAATAAGAAGGGAGTTATGTGAAATCACGTTTTTGTTGTTCCCCAGACTCATTTCCTGACTCCATGCATAAGCTATTCCTCATGTCTTGAACGTATTCTCTTCACCTCTGCCACTTAGAACTCCTATTTTCCTTGCTTGATTCTGGAATTCCCCTCTGCCTTGGACTCTGCCTATGGAAATACATTCATCCTTTCGGGCCAAGGTCAAGAGCCACCTTCTCCATGAAATCTTTCTGATCTCTCCAGCCAGAGATCATCATCCTTTACTTTTCTTTCTCCCCACTCCTTCTCTTCTTCTCTTATTTCCTTCTCCATCTCCTCCTCTCTTCTTCTCTCTTTCTCCCCCTCTTCCTCTCCCTCTCCCTTTCTCTCTTCTCTTTCCCTTTCCTTCTCTCCATCTTCTCTCCCTTTCCTTCCCCTTCCCCTCTCCTCCATCTCCCTCTTCTTCTCCATCTTCCTATCACCCTTTTCCTCTCCTCTTCCATTCCTTCTCTCCCTCCCTCCCTCCCCTTACCCCTTCCTCTCTCTATCTCTCTCATTAAAATCTGCTCGTCATTCTGACTTCATTAGTTCTGTAAGATTATAAGCACCTTGAAGGCAAGGCTGTTCTGGCTTTCTGTCTTTGCATTCCTAGTGCCCAGTATATAGGAGGGTCATAATATTTGTTGAAACTTAATAAAGGGCCATCCAGCCTCTGCTCAAAGAACATCACTGATTAGGAAAGATCTTTTAAGCTGTCTTGTCAGACCTTCTTACCACACCATGGACTTACTTTACTAAATTCCCTTAAATCTCTTTTCTTTCATCTAATTTTAACTTCCTGAATTAAGCCCAATTCCTGATTATTCCTGACTTTCTTTCTCCTCTCTTTCCATCCCACAAGAATTTCCTTATGTTGATTCTGCACAAATTTGGTATATACTTATATATTTACAGAGAAGTTCCTTGAGGGTAGGGGCTTGCAATCTTTGTCTTCATATCACAGGTGCTTAACAGAGTGCATGATGCATAATAAGCGATTAACAAATTCTTATTGATTGATTGGAATTAGGGTTATATCAACTCTTTTCTCTACTTCCGTTGTCTCCACACATCTCTCACCTGGACTACTACAGTAGTCTCCTAATTTATCTCCCTAGTCCAGGTTGCTTCCCACTTCAGTTCCTCTTCCATGTAGCTGCCAGTACTGGAAGGACAGGTCTTATTAGGTCACTTCCCTACTCAGTAAACTCCTGTAGCTCTCTCTTAATTTTAGCACCAAATAAAAATTCCTCTGTCTGGTATTTAAAGCCCTTGACAATCTAGCTCTATCTTACCTTTCCAGTCCTATTACATATTCATGTCTTCTATACATTCTATAAGTACAAGCAACCTGGCCTGTTTGCTGTTGTTTACACACAGCCTTTCATCTCCCATCTCCATATCTTTGCACTGGCTGTACCCTATGCCTAGAATAAACTCTTCACCTTTGCTTCTTAAAAGAAAGTTTCCTTAAAATCTCAATTTAAACAGTATTTCCTACATGATGCCTTCCCTAATACCCCCATCTTCTTGAATCACTTTTTATTTATTTTGTGCACATTTTATACACACTGTACGTGTATACATATATGTGCATATGTGTGTATGTGTATTATGTGTCTAAGTGTGTGTATGTGATCCCTGGTAGAACTTAAGTTCCTTGAGGGCAGGAATCATTTAACTCTTTGTAGTTCTAGTACCTAACATCGTGCCTGGCACAAGAAGGTGCTTAATAAATGTTCATTGGTTTTTCTCTCCATCACAGAGCTGTTAAACCAATAGATATTGATGAAGAGAATTGCTTGATCTTTCTGAACAGGGCAACCTGCACATATGAAATCTGGAACAAAGAAGACCCTACCAAATCCGTCTGGCCCATACTTGGGTTGGGTAGCCTCAACCCTTCTTAGTGCTGCTGCCAAGTTTGTAGCTTCCCATAAGCAGATGCCAACCAGTGCTCCTCTTCTTGGAATGAAGTTTGAAGAGTTTGAAGCCTTGCTACATGTGAGCAATACCTTGCTTTCCCTTTCTTGGGAGATGTCGTCACCATGGTGATCATGATGCTTTGAACCTGCTGAGGAGTTCAGTGGTGATCCCTGCTTCTCCTCTGGGATTTTCAGAGTAGATTGGGCATCAGGGGCCACAAGAAGGTTGTTTTTCTTCCTCTTTGCCCCAATTTCCTTGAGCTGGGGCTCTGGCTGGCCATGAGTTCTCCTCTAGGCTGCCCAGGTACAGATGAACCTCAATCAAAAATCCATTCACATACAGCCCATTCAGACATGTGCTGGAGGTAACAGCTTTTTTGATCATCTCTGATAGATCATCTAAGTCATCTCTGGGTCTCCTGCAACCTGCTGCTTAATGAATACTTTGAGAGAATAAATCATCTTTCAGCATGTGATGGATCTCCATTCTCTTCTTTGAGCATGAGGTGTGTTCATGCTCAGTGAATGCAGTTGGGTCGTCTTCTGGGTCTTTATGGGTGCTTTTCCAGGGGATAGCTATGGGCATGTACAGTTCTCCAGAGCTTGTCCCATCCAGTGAGGATAGTCTAATCATTGCATTGTCATCCTTAAGAGAATAACCAATTTGACAAGCATTTATTTATTTATTTATTTATTTTATTTATTTATTTATTTTGGCGAGGCAATGGGGTTAAGTGACTTGCCCAGGGTCACACAGCTAGTAAGTGTTATATGGCTGAGGCTGGATTTGAACTCAGGTCCTCCTGAATCAGGGCCGGGGTTCTATCCACTGTGCCACCTTGCTGCTCCTTGACAAACATTTATTAAATGCCTACTATGTGCCAGATCCTATTGCCAGATACTGAGGATACGAAGGCAAAAGGGAGACAGTCTCTGCCTTCAAGGGGCTTACTACAGTGTACTGGGCTTCTGCAATATGTATACAGTGAAGCGCAGGGGGTAGAGACTGGACATGTGATGTCAATGACATAAGAGACACCTTCTACCAATGCAGGTTGGAGCTTTCTCTCAGATGGATAGTCTTAGACGGTACCCTAGAGCATTGAGAAGTTAAGGGACTTTTTTCGTGTCTCAGAGCTAGGAGGTATCTGAGGCAGAACTTGACCTGGGTTTCCCTGGCTTCAAAGTCACTTCTCTAGCAACTCCCTTGCTGTGTCTGTCTCTCTGTCTCTCTATCTGTTTAATTTCTTTTTATCTCTCTAGTTCTATCCATGTCTCTCCCTCTATTTCTATCTTTCTATTTCTTCATCTCTCTATCTCTGTCTCTCTACATATCCATATCTATCTACCTATCTGTCTATCTCTATCCATTTCTCTACTTATCCATATTTATTGTTCTCTTTCCTTCCTTCCTTCCTTCCTTCCTTCCTTCCTTCCTTCCTTCCTTCCTTCCTTCCTTCCTTCCTTCCTTCCTTCCTTCTTTCCTTTCTCTATACATCTCTTTACATATCCATCTTTATCTGTCTCTCCATCTCTATCCATCTCTCTCTATCCATGCATCTATCTATCTCATTAGATATCTCCTTATTGGGAGTTCCCTACACCAAAGGTATCAAGCATGAGGGCAGTTGGCCACACGCTGCCTGCAACACTCCCTACGGAACTAGATTAAAAAATAATTATGACAAATTTAACCAAATAAATAAAAATACGACAGATAATGTTAACACGTGGTTTTCTAAGTCAATCTGTGGCCTGCAGGGATCCTTATGTATGGTGTAGTGGTTTCATTTCTCTTTGAGTATGACACCACTGCCCTACACCTATGAAATCAAAGATCTGTTCCTTAAAAAATATGAAATAAATGAGCAGGGGGGAGCACTCACATCTGGAAGGGGATTAGGAAGGAAGAGGTCTGATGAGAAATCATGGATAAGAACTATATAGGACAAGAAAGTGTGGAGGAGAACACAGACTGTAGCATCAATGAAAGAAGTGCCCATCCAGGTTATCAAGGATGGCAGCCTGCTCAATCCAGTTCCAAGCTGTTGGACAAATCATACCTGGCACTGGGTTTCCCATTGGCCTTCCGGTGCCATTACTAGCTCTCTGTATAGAAGATGTGGAGAGGCTAGGGTGACTGGGGGATCCATTTTAGCCTCTCTGCCTTTTCTTGCCTGGGTGGGAAAGGGTCCTTGTTCCAGCCTCTACTACTTTTGGGTTGGAGAACTCCTTATCACTGACTCTGGCCTAGGGACTCTTTTTGCATCTTCCCATTCCCTCTTAGGCTAGTGTTCATTTTTCAGTGACTGCCTTAGACAAGAAGACTGTTGTTTACCATCCCAATTTAATTCCCCATTCCTGACACACACTGATGCCTGGAAAAATGAAGCAGAATCAGTCAATTATCAAATATTTAATTGAGCACCTGTATTACCTAAGCCACACACAACTCCGCTCTGGGGTCATAATGACAACTTAGGAAGGCAGCAGACAATGGGGAAATAATCCTGGATCCATAGTTCGAGGACCTCAGTTCAAATCCAGCTCTGTGTGACCACCAGTGCATTACAGGCACTGAGTCAAAGGGTTCCAATACTATCTCTGCTGCTTACAACTTATGTGACGTTGGGCAAATCACTTCACCTCCAGAGGAATACAGAAACTTGTTGTCATGTACCTTCACTCTTGTGCAAGGGAAGAATGATTTCTTACTGGGCTGGGACTGGAAATAAGACACTGCTAACAATTTCCTTCCATCTATACCATTAGAGAGTCATTCTTCTGGAGTAAGTCTTTGGCCTCTGCTAAAACATAAATGCTGCTGGAAGAGGTTGTCATATTTTAAATCTTAAAATTAATTCATCCAACAAATATTTGTTAAATGCCTCCTGCATGCAAAACACGATGCTAGACACTGGAGGAGATACCAAGGTTACATAAAATGCAGTCTTTGCACTCGAGGAATTTATTGTCTAGTAGGATAAGACAAAAACAGATAAATATAAAAACAGATGACTTTTTGCCACTTATTATCTATATGACCTTGGGTAAGTCATCTTATTTAGTGCCTTACTTTCTTCATCTGTAGAATCAAGGGTTTGTACTCAATGGTTTCTAAGGTCTCTTCTGGTTCTAAATCTGTGATCCTATAATCCTGTCAACAGAGAGATGAAGACATAGTGCCAAGTAAGGCATGAAGGAGAAGGTCATTACCGGTTTGGGGTGGAGGCACAAATCAGGGAGGAGATGGCACAAGAACTGGCCTTTAAAAGAGAGTCAGGAATTTAGCAGGTGAACACAGTCAGAAAGGGCATTCCATGCAGAAGGAACATCGTGATCTGGGGCACAAAAAGTGCCCAGCGTGCTTCTGGGCTAGAAAAGAGACCAATTTAAGTGAAGATCAGGGTGGTAAAGAACAATGGTAAGGATAATATGAGACAAAGCTCATGTTCCTAGGGAATCAAGACATCGCACAGACACAAATTAGCTAAGATATAAGTATTCTGGACTGCTAGGGGGCACAGTGGACAAAGAGCTGGTCCTGGAGTCTGGAGGACCTGAGGCTTCAGACCCTTGCTAGCTGTATGACCCTGGGCAAGTCACTTAACCCTGTTTGCTTCAGCTTCCTCATCTGGAAAATGAGCTGGAGGAGAAAATGGCAAACTCTTCCTGTATCTTTGCCAAGAAAAACTCAAATAGGATCACAGAGGGTCGGACATGGCTGAAATCATTCAACAACAATGACAACAATAACAATGACATAGGACACTCTATGGATCACAGCCACATGACAACACCAGAAGAATGTTGGATGTGACCTGGGCTTCTCTAGCTCAGTTTCCTCCTTTATAAAATGAAGGGTATTAGGCCAGATGATCTTGCAGCAGCTCCTTCCATTTCTAACATTTTGTGGTTTTAAGGACAGTAGTGGTTTTGGAAGGACCAGATCAGACTCCCCGCTGGCTGGAGCAAGACCACTTTCCCACTGCTTTCCAGAGTAGTAGGTGCTAAATGGAGGAAAGACACCTGAACCCTGGGCCAGGCTCACTGCCAGTGGGCTTCTATGGCCTTGCCATGGACTTGTACCACCCCTGGTACTCCAGAGGTAGAGTTTGTCCTTATGATGACATACGTGACTCCTATGTCTAGGCCAGTGCTGAGAATAGGCTACTTGATGAAGGAAGAGGATATCACTATCAGTCTAATTTCTTCAACCACGCTGGAGAAATAATTATAAAGAATCTCAGAGCAGTGGTGAGGAATATAAAGATTATACTTTCTTCCACAGTTATCTAGTATTGTTATACTTTAGCTCAATTCCAAAGAGCCTATAAACCTGAGTTTTTTTTCTCTGTAAAGGCTTAAACTAAGGAGCCCTTGTAGGTTAACTCCTTGCTCCTTTTTTCATAGAAGTAATCTGTTCCCCTCCTCTAAGGGACATAAAAATTGTGTGTATATCACTTCCAAACCTATAGATGACCTTATGCCTTTGGATTAGCACTTAAATTCAGCAGAGAATGATGTGATCTTGGAACTGTAGGATTTTGGAGTTGGAAGCCATTTCTGCCTGAATCTCCTCTGCAACATACCAGACAAATAGCCATCTGGCCTCTGTTAATTATGGCTAATAATAACATATTTATATAGTGCTTTAAAGTTTGCAAAATGCTTTATAAATATTAACTCATTTTATCCTCGCAATGACCTTGGGAAGTAGGTACTATTATTATCTCCATTTTACAGTTGAGGAAACTGAGGCAGACAGAGCTTAAATGATTTGCCCAGGGTCATACAGCTAGTAAGGGTCTAGGCAGGATTTGAACTCAGGTCACCCTGACTCCAGGTACAGCACACTATTCATGGTGCCTCTTGGCTGCTGCTGCTGAACTCCTCTTCCAAAATCCTTGAAGATAACTGTCATGTCTTCCTTAAGTCTTCTCTTCTCCAGCTAAACATTTTCACTTCCCTCAGCAGGTTCTCTCAGGGGTATGGTGTCCAGTCCTTCTACCCTTCTCTGGATACTCCTCAGTTTATCAATAATCTTCCAAAAATATGGTTCCTAGAGCTGAACCCAAGGTAGCAGATGTGGTCTATGAGGGCCAAGTGGAGATCACAAGAACTCTCTTGGCTGCCATTTCACTTCGGGACTTGTACTATTTCTTTTGCCCAGAGGGTCTTCACTTATCTCTATCTGGATTCTGCCCATGCTTCAAGATCCAGCCAAAGATTTCCTTCCCACATGAACTTCCTAAATGGCGACCTCACCCTTGACATGTCCCAAGAGCCTGAACACTCCCTCCTTTTCCTCTTCCCTGTTCTTCCTCAAGGTTCAGGAAAGAGGAGGAAGGAAGTATGCAGCATTCATGAGAGCTGGGAGAGACAAAACAAAGATGAGTAATGAAGAAGCTATGAGGGGT